TTATTCTACGATCATCACAATTTGATTAGGTGATTAGCAAATAAAATCACGAGATGATCAACAAAATCTAACCAATTGCAATGAATGTTCGCTATGCTTATTAGAAGTTAGTAGTAAATGCGATTTACGATATTTCTAGAAGATATATATAAAGATCATGCTCTGGTGAGTATTATATATTGTATATAACCAAAGGTTTCTTTTCACATAACTGACTAGAATACTTATGGTCTAGTTTCGAATGCAAACAATTTACTCTTTGAATATTTTTTAGGGTTATACGGCATTGATATATCATATTGACTTACCAACCGGTACTTGGGTTTTTGTTTACTGCTTGTACTAGAATCAAAGAATTTATATTGAGCTAAGTAATATACACATATGGATCTTTGTCTTGAAAATAATTTTATGGAACATAGTAATTACTATGTTCCATAAGGTCATTTTCAAGATGAAGACCCATATTATTTCATTTTTCGGTTAATTCCAAATGTTATTAGATCATTTTAACTTCATTTTATAGTGTCCAATTCATAAATGCATTCTCAAGAATATAAGCAATCGTTCAATGATATACATTTAGGTGCTTCTTCTGAAACGAAGTTGAAAGAATTAGTTAGCGCATCAAGAATGAGTAATTTTTAAGGCGCAAAAGTGTTCAACTAAAACATGGTAAATTGGGTGATTTGCGACATGTAGGATAATATCATGGTTTTTTTTAAGATTAATTGACCACTATGTATCACATAAATAAGCGAAATAAATAAGAACCGTTACATTCAAAACTATATAGATCAATGCGCATGAGATATATGAAATGAGGATTTGAAATCAAATCTAAGCACCTATTTATTTCATTTCATTTAGTACATTAATGACGACAAACAAACGAAGTCTGTTCGTCTTTTCAACATCAATTCCATTTTGTAATAATAACCAACTTTGAACGTTCTAATAAAATCTAATAAATGAAAGCCTTATGTTCATCATTTTCAACTTACGATTAGACGTTTGGTTTACACTGTAATAAGAATTCGATCTATTTCAACATAAAATAAGTTAAGACAACGACATTTGACGCTAGAATAATAAAATACAAATACACACTGATATTAGTCATTTGAGGAAGAGCCACTTGCGTGAATGTTTCAAGTGCAATGATTGTTCCTTCATGATTAAATTCTCTCGAATATCTTCCAATCCAGTTATGAATTGTAGTTATTTGAGGGATGTCGTCATTATCAATTTCTCCGGTTCGTGCGAACTCCATAAGCTCCATATGCATTTCTTGAGCTGTCAGTTTATCTTTTGGATTTATATTTCCATTTAAAAAAAATTGTTTTAGCAAATTAACAACCTTCGTTTTAATTTTTTTTCCTGCGCCCTTTTTTCCGAATTTGGCGTTTGCTGGGAACGCCCAGCCAGGAGACATTTGAAATTCTTCTTCAATATGTCTAAACGAAACTTAATTAGCTAAAGATGAAATAATCCAAAATAAATCAGATAAGGGTTCTGCAAACCTAATCCCGGAATTATCCGTCTCAGTTGACTTTTGGTAATAAATGAATGCCTTCTGTTTATTCTTTTCAATTCCATTACCATTTGCATTTTCCAATTCAGCAGATTTTTGAAAATGAATGGATGCCTTTTGCTTATCCATTTCAACTTCAATTCCATCGGAATTTCCCATTCCAGCAGATTTTTGAAAGCAAATAAATGCTTTATATTCATCCCCCTCAGCCCTATTTTCTGAATAAGTTGTACACAAATTAGATTTTTTTTCGTCATATAATGAAAAATCCGTGTTTTGAGCTAGCCTGAAAATTAGGGTAACTAATTCATACCATCAACTTCCATTCCATGGCCTTCTTGATAGTCATCAGTAAGATTAATAAAACCTGTTTTGCAAAAAATTATTTAGTAGCTTCTTATCGTTATTAAAAACACTAAGAACTAATTCCTACCTTCAACGTCCATCTCAGAACTTTGGTCGTTGTCCTCGCTATTAGAATTGGTAATGTCTGTTTTACAATAAATACCGTTTAGTAACGTATTGCAATTAGTTATAAAATCAGTTGCAATTACCTTCCATCTCGATTATTTGATTATTATTGGTAGGAGCTAAAATTTATTACAAATGTCAAATTCGCAAAAATACTGTTCCTGATGGTTCGTCGGCACTGCTCCTGATAGGTTAGGAAAAAAAAATACCGTTCCTGATAGGGTTCTAAAAAGGGTCTCTAAAATACTATACTACCATAGTGAAGTATATGAAAAAAACTAAAATAGGGCTCTCGTTTTAGAACCCTATCAGAAACAGTACTCGAATAAATTTTTTTTTTAACTCCATCATGATCGGTACTGCAGATCCATCAGGAATAGTATTTTTGCGTCAAATTCCATTACTTTTTTCTACTAGGTAATCACGTTTGCGTACCTTGAATCGTCGGGATTGGCATGGTCCAATCAGATGTTGGGTTTGTATGTTCCGAAGTTATCGGCTTTGGGCGAATAATAGGTGCATTAGATAATTTGGAAATTTCGGATGGAGAAAAGCTCACCCATGTGCCCGCATGTGGTAATCCTCTAGCACGAATAAATCCAGCTAAGGGTCCTTCCGTTGGCCATTCCCAACAGTAAAACTTCGATATCCCTGGTATTGTTTTAATCTTTGGTTTTTTACTACATGAATTTCCTTTTTTTTTTTTTTTTGATCTCACATCCTCAGTTTCAGATTCACTATTTCTATCGTCATGATCTATTATAATTTGTGCTAATGAAGTTCCAGCTAGCCCCTCCGCCGCTTTTACTATATCTTTGCCTTCAACTACATCAAATCCAACTCGAACATACCGTTTAATACTATGACCGATCTATGTGATATTGTAAGTATTAAGATGTTAGTAAGTCTTCATAAGAAAAGTGAACTTACTGTTTAGCACTGCCTATAGTATCCTCATAAAATAATACCCATGATTAAGACCCAGATACTATTCATTATACTATCAGCCTAATTCTTGAATAATACCGGGGATATATGGTATTTATATTAGTTTATTATTTTCATATAAGTTGCGTCCAAATATGGTATTCGGTTCTAAACAAAGTACCCGCAATTTAAATATGAAAGTTTTGAATAAGAGCCCGAGTATTATAGACGGTGCCAAACGGTGATAAAAATAATATTATTCATTTATTCACATTTGCATGATAAGAATCAATAGTCGTTTTAGCTTCTCCTAGTTCCAAAAACAGCCATCTGTTAACTTTAATAGAGTACCAAGTATGCCAATGAGCAATAATCGCCATTAACTCCGAATTGTGGTAATGTGCACCATTATCTGAAATTATTATTATCCATTTGGGTTTTTTTTTCATTGAATCAAATACTGCATCAAACGAAGAGGCGGTAAACCATGCATCTTGCTTTGTATCTGTGGACCAATGATCGAATGCCCGAATATCTAACATATCTTGATTTTCTATCTTTCTAAAAACTAGAATAGTGTGCAATGCCCAACCTCTTTTACCAAAAAAATCTTTCTTGGTCTCACGAGCAGACCTCGGAAGAATTCGCATCTTATAGTCAGCTACTATTAAAGCACCATCAGAATCCAACTGAGTTAAAGTTGCCTTAAATTGAGCATTAAGATAGATTTTTCATGCTTGGTGGTCTAGATAATGTTTTAGTCACTCTTTAACTTCATGCAGTTATGTTACATATTTATTAGTTACATGGTTTTCTAACTCATCAAAAAATTCATAAAACTGTTCACACTTAGAACATCTTGAAATGTGTAATGCTGAACATTCTACAAAAGTATATGGGAGGCAGTGGTTGATACAAGGATCATGTGAAATTGTTCCATCTGTTGATATTACTAACTCTTGTTCAAATTCTTGCTTAAAATGATATCGCAGATACTCAATTCGTGAAAGTATTTTATTCTAATAATAATAATAATAAACGATAAATGTTCCAAATCTAAAAATCTTCCGAATTAAAAAAAAAAAAAAAAGTCCTAATCTTTTTTTAAAAAAAAGAAACTTCATGTCAATTCGCATATAAAAAAAAAAAAAAAAAGAAACTTTATACTTTTTTTTTAAAAAAAAGAAACATTATAATTTTTTTTTTTTAAAAAAAGAAACTTCATAATTTTTTTTTTTTTAAAAAAACCGTCCTAATTTTCTTTAAAAAAAACTTTCTATTTAAAAAAAAAAAAACTTTTTTCATATTTATAAAAAAAAAAAAAAGACATTTTAACTTCAAAAAAAAAAAATTTGTTACATTTTTTTTTAGAAAAAAAGAACTTAGCAATCAAAAATTAACTGCATTAAAAAAAAAAGCAATCTTCAATAAATAAAAAAAAAAATAAAAAAATAATGTTCTAATTAAAAAAAAAAAAAAAAAAAGTATTGATACCAATTCCATCTTGTCAAAAAATATATTTCGTGCAATTTCAACTAAATTTTCGAATGACCTGAAACCGTACTCATTGCAAATTCCACAGAGACCCCCTAAATCATCCCGATATTTCAGATGTGTACAGTTTGCAAGTCATCCTATAAAAGATGTCCTTTTCATTCTATTTGGAAAGGTCTGTTGAAACTTTTTCCAAAGTGCAGTCTTATTATCGCGCAAATAAAGGATAGGCAAGTTAGTTTTTTGGTCTATCTTATAAGAGCTCATTGTAACATTATTTTTATCAGAGAAAAATATTTTGAACTGTCTTTCTTTGAAGTCGGCTATTAATTTTGTTGTTCTTTTAGGAATTTCTAGAGGTGGAGCACCAGCACCGTAAAGACATGCATGATTTTTTGCTTTGTATATAGTTCTTAAATCCACCTATATTTAATAATAGATCGTATTATATTAATAAATCTCATTACAAAAAAAAAATAATTGATGTCTTACACCTAGTTCTCTATAAAGAACTTGATAATTAAAGTCAAGCGCAATAATAGAAAGTATTCGAATTTTTCCTTCAACACCTCTTTTACTAATATCTAATGCATAGCGAAAACTATCTCAGAATTGATCACTTGTATTATTATGTAGAGAATCCTGCATTTGAAGTAATTCCCATTGATATAGGTTTTGTAGAGTTTGCCGATCTGCCCTAGGATCTGCTACATACATCCAAAATTCGATATCAGATTCTTCTTTTAAATATGGTATAATATTTGTGCACCCACAAGCTAGAAACATAGAATGCCAGGCTACTAGTTCTTTGTGCTGAAATGCATAACCAGGTGGGTATATACTATATAAAATATGAGAAAACCGAATCACCGAACTTTGTTGTATGATTCAATTAGTAAAAAGGATTTGCCAATCTTTATTAGGCATCAGAATTTTTCTACGTTTAATATGCAGGTCAAATATTTGTTTCAAAGTTGACTCCTCGTTCCACTGAAGTGATGTACATATTGTACATGTTATTACTTTTTTTTTTTTATATCATTTGCTAATAATGTTTGAACTTTCGAATCTCTTAGCCCAAAAAGTGCAAGGTGGTCTTTATTTTGGAACATTCTATACTTTTTCTAAACGATGGTTGGTGTTTCACCAACAAATTGATTTATTTCATTTTTGCCCTTAAAACCCCACAAACTACACTGATCTTTCAAAATCTGCTGCAAAACAAGATGTATTTCCGAATTATGATATACTACTAATGATGATATATAACCAGGCCCACCGAATAAAAGATCTTCTCGTAAAGATCTTCCGATTTCCGAAACTACTATGGTAAGTCTATTAATCTGCATATATAATGGAAAAAATAAAACATCATTTAGTATCTCTGATATAATTTCCTTGTTATAAAATCCTAATACTGCTAAACCGGAATGCTCTGTTTGATTTTCAAATAATTCTCTATATATTGAGTTAATGGCAGCTGAAGATGTATTTTCTATATTACTAATTTTATTTCCTGCTAAGCACAAAAATCCTGGTTGTAAAGGGTTAGAAAGTCTATTAACGATAGATAGGGTAAAATCGTAACCATTTATTTGGGCTATTACATTTAAGTAAAAACAAAAAGGAAGTGTTAGTATATCATTTTTTGTAATTTTCAAATTTGAAGCCCACCAATCTCGAGCATATGGTCCGTAATGAAGATTTGAGCTTATTTGTCCTTTGTTTATAAGTTTTACAATGTATTTTCTGTTTTTTGACATCTTGCAATATGACAAATATTTGCCATTTCAATAATAAGTAATTTCTTATATTAAATACCCACCGTATATTGCTATGAAATATCGATCACTTTAGTCACGATTTGCCCCTTAAACTAGTTTTTTAGAAGCTTCCCCATCTCTAACCGTAATTAGTGCAAGTAATCTTTCTACAGTCTTATATCTTAAACCAGAAACTTGTGTCTAGTTAGTTTTATTATATAACAGAGTTGGTATTATATCGCTAGCTATACTAATTGGCAGAGAGTCTTATACTTATTTGCTCAAGTATTACTAACCTGTATTTCAAGCCAAGTTTTGCTACCACTGCTAGTTTGCTACTCTAGAATTTAATATTCTTTTCTAATATAGTAGTACCAACTAATCTATTTGTATTTTCTCATATAGTATATTTATTACAGAACTATATTTGTATATAGTAATCAATCATGCTTCTATCTATAAGTTTTGTGTTATATTACTAGTAGACATACTCCAATTTATATTAATTTTTAACTTGAACTCTCATCTATTAGTTGTATTGTATTATTGTTGGTATATTTTCTTCTTTTGTTATAGACTTCTATATAGATATAACCAGAGCTTCAACTTGATATACTAGATTAGCTAGTCTGTCTTTATAAAATTATCTTCTTTAGTTAGTCATTTATAGTACTAGAGATACTTTC